AGAAGTCTCTTGACATTGTTCTTTTTCCTGAAAATCCCTTAATTTATCCTATCAACTTGGCCCAGCCCAATCTGGATGAAATGCTAATTTAGGGAGCTTGTTACTGGCTATAAAAAAGCATGGTGGCAAAGGACAGGAAGACAGGTAGGAGGAAATAGTAACATGATAACTTTGGATTTATTCATTAATTTTTTAAAAAGACTTTTAAAGCATGTAACATGTGAGATCCTAGGGAAATTATGTGACAGTTGCATCACAGGAACTTCTGAGAATTGAGCCTGAGATATGAGGCAGACAAGACATAGTGCTAAAAAAAAAAAAGATGGATAAAATTCCTTTTAAGGATTTCACAGCATAGCAACAAGAAATAATAGCAGGTATTTATTACCCCCTATCTCTAAGGTGTCTGATAGACATCTGAGCTTGACATGTCCAAAACAGAAAAAAAAATTGGTTTTTTGTTTTTAAATGCAGGTCCTGCTATGTTGCCCAGGCTGGTCTTAAACTCCTATTCAAGTGTCTTATCCTGTGTAGCCAGGACTATAGGCTTGCACTATAGTGTCTGGCTCAAAACAGAAATGCCGATCTTCCCCTAAACCTTTCTCTTATTTTCTTTCTTCCAGGCTTCCCTATTTATTGCAGTGATACAATCATCCACTTGGTTGCTCAGACTAAAAATCTAGGAGGCATCCTTTATTCTTCTTTATATGGCTGATGAGATTTCAGTCTATTAGCAAATCCTGTGGACTATGCCTATGCATTACAGAAATATATCAGCCCAATCTTCCACCCTGTGCAAGCACCATCATAGCCATCTACATAGTCTCTTCACCTGTCTACCCTCATTCACTTTTTTTTTGGTACCAAATCGAACTCAGGACGTTGCATTTGAGAGGCAGGTGCGGTGCCACTCAGCCAAATCCCCGGCCCTACTTGTTTTCTTTTTTTTTAAGACGGGGTCTCCCTATGTAGCTCAGGCTGGCCTCAAATTCATGGCAATCCTCCTGCCTCAGCCTACAATGTGCTAGGATTACAGGCACACAACATCACGCCCAGCTCATCCACTCTTGCACTGCTCAGATTTTTTTCCTCAAACAGCCAGACTGAGCTTTTAAACATCATACCATGCATGACCTCTCCTTGGTTAATACTCCCTAATGGTTTTCCATTTCACTTAAAATAAAATTCAAACTCCTTTCCATGCCTTTCAAGGCCATGTGTTTTTACATTGTGTGGTTCTTATCAACTACTAGTCTCCCCAGGCTCACTCAGTTCCAGCCACTCCGACCTCAGGGTCTCTGCACTTAGCCTCTCTGTCCACCTCTCCTTCCTAGGGCTTTGCATGGCTCTCCCTCACTCCCTGAAGAACTCATCCACAATCTCAGCCTCAGGTCTGCTTTCCCTGAGCAACCCTACTTAATACATAGTCACACACACACATACACACACACACACACACACACACACACACACACGGCCACCTTCTTATCCCTTACACTTTTCTTGTTTGTTTGTTTCTTCTGAAAAAAGTCTCTCTCTTTTGGCCAAAACTTTTGTCAGGCTCCTCTGAGTCCTTTACTTGGCCAGGAACAACACTGGGTTCCCTCTCTGTCCTTGTGGAATCCAGTTTGAGCAACCTGCCAAAAGCTTAGTGAAAATCCTCTCCCCTTGCTATCTGACCACTCTTATGTCGGGAGCAATTCTACATAATTCTGGGGAAAAATCATTTAAATTATTACAATTATTATTTAAATTATTACAATTAAATTATGGTTAGGCCTAGTTTTCCTGCCTACAGGCAGGCTATGGCATGTCAAGACATAACTCCATTTTTGCCTCCAGTCACAGCTAAGACCTCAATGGATCCGTGATGATGTGACACTCCAGGGGAGGATTACATCAACTGAAGACATTTTGGTTCCTTGAGAAGTGAATAGAACTCACCTGTTACCAGAAGAGACCTAGAGTAGCAAAAACAACCCTGGGCAACAAGAGTAAGGCAGAAGGCATCACAATTGTAGGTATCAAGTTATACAGTACTACAAAGCCACAATGATAAAAACAGCATGATATTGGGAAAAAAGACAGGTAGACCAATGGAAGTGAATAAAGGGTACAGAACAACTCCAAGCACATTCAGCTACCTGCTCTTTGACCAAGTGGCCAAAAACTTACACTAGAGGAAAGATAGCCTCTTGAACAAATGCTGGGAAAACTGGCTATCTATATCCAGAAGATTGAACCTAGTCTCATATCTTTCACAATGCACTAAACGAAAATCAAAATGGATCAAAGACCTAGATATTAAAACAGAAACATTTAATTTGCCGGAAGATAAAACAGGTAAAACTCTTGAAGACATAGGCATAGGTAAGGACTTTCCGAACCTCAATCGCACAAAAGATAACAGCAAAGATCAACACATGGAATTACATCAAATGAATAAGCTTCTGCACAACAAAGAAAACAACCAACAGAGAGAAGTAACTCACAGAATGATAAAACATTTTTGCCAGCTATTCCTTGGACAGAGGACTAATATCTAGAATGTATAAAGAACTAAAAAAAAAAAAAAAGAGATCCCCCCCCCCCGCTCCAAACAAAAGACTCAATCAAAAAATGAGCTACTGAAACAAATAGACACTTCTCAGAAGAAGTATAAATGGCTAATAAATACATGAAAAAAGGTTCAACATCTCTGGCCACTACAGAAATGCAAATTAAAACAATACTGAGATTCTATCTTATTCCAGAAGGAACTGCTATCATCAAGAAATCCAGTAACTGGGGCCGGGAATTTAGCTCAGTGGTGCCACCGCCTGCCCCGCAAGCACAAGGACCCGAGTTCAATTTCTGGTACAAAAAAAAAAAAAAAAAAAAAAAAAACCGAAAAGAAATTCAATAACAAATGCTAGCAAGGCTGCACAGACAAAAAGGAACCCTTCTACATTGTTGGTGGGCATGTAAATGAATACAACCACTATGAAAATCAGTATAGAGATTCCCCAAATTACTAAAATTCCATTTCTACCAGCTATTCTCCTCCTAGGTATCTTCCTGAAAGAGTTAAAAGACATCATATTACAGTGATACATGCATAGCCATGTTTACAGCAGCACAATTTACAATAGCTAAAGTCTTAGAAGTGGTCTATATGGCCATCAACAGATGAATGGATAAAGGAAATGTGGAATTTATACACCATGGAGTACTATTGTGCCATAAAAAGGATAAACTTGAGTCATTTGTAAAAAAAATGCATGCATCTTAAGACCAAAATATTAAGTAAAATTAATCAGACACACAAACTTAAATATTGAATGGTTTCTCTTATATAAAAAATATAAATAAAGGGTAAAATAGAAGACAGTTGATGAGAAAAGACTGTTTGAGGTGAGATAGATCTTTTGGATTTGGGAAGGGGACTGAGAGATAAAGGGGAGAAGAAAGGAGGAATAAGGAAGGAGATAAACAAAAGAATTAAGATGTGTTGTGTACATATACCAACTCTTCACAAGGAATGTGGTCATTATGTACCACAAACACTTACAAAAAGAGAAAAGAAACATAACTTTGGTAAGGGTCCTATGAGTCTGCTTCACCAGGCCTGAGCCTGGGCTTCCTTTGTCCTTACTGAATACAGTTTAAGCAAAAATTCTAAGTCAGTTTAGCAATAATCCTCTGCCCTTTGTATTTGACACCCAGAATACAGTATTTTGGTGCACTTGCTTGACTTCAGCCAATAATCCTTCAAGTCAGTTTAAACAGAAAACGTTTATCCTCGATGTTTTCCTCTTAGTAATTTTCCATCCACTCACCCCCTCCCCCCACAGTTGGGTGGAATAGGAGTTAGGCTCAATCTCTCTCCCACAGAAAAACCGAGTTGCAGCGTGTCTTATACTTATTGCCATGATCCCTTTGAATAAAGGCTGTCTTACCTTCTTTAACAAGTGTCTTGAATGATTTTTAATACTTCTCAGCACTTCTCTAATATTTTAAAATTAATTTATCATATATCAATAATATGTATTTTAATTTACACATAAAAATTGTACATATTTGAGGGTACAGTGACATTTTAATACACGTATATACTGTACAATGCTCAGATCAGGGTAAATGCCGTATCTAACACCTCAGATATTTATCATTTCTTTGTGTTGGGAACATTCAAAATCCTATTAGCTATTTTGAAATACACAATTGTCAACCTGTTATCCCACTATGCAAATTATTTCTTTACAAATTATTCCTATCTAACTGTATCCCATACCTATTAACTATCCTCTCTCCATCCTTCCTTTCCTTCCTATGTCCTGTGTATGCGCAAGTGTGTGTTTAAAATAGTTTATTGGTTTTTTGGGGTTTTTTTTTTTTTTTTTTGGTACCGGGGATCGAACTCGGGTTCTTGAGTTTGCGCAGCAGGCGGCAAAACCACTGAGCTAAATCCCCAGCCCTATGAAATAGTTTATTGCCCACCAGGCAGTAGTTATGTACCATTAGGACAGAAACTTGTGCCCCATTCTGTCCCATGTGTCCCATTCTGCAGCATAGTAGATATTTATTAAATGTTTGTCGAATGCAGGGTAGCATTTGTCAAAACTATTTAATTTATTTTATTTTATTATTTTAATTTTCCCTAATGAATGTAAACTCTATGAAGACTCAGATACCATCTATATGCCTTTTGTTCACTAGTACACACTCCAAGCCTTGATCGAAGGCTATGACAGTAATGTTAGAGGATGGAAGGAACTAAGAGAGATCCTCACAGACAAAAATAAAATGGAATTGGAAGAAAGGAGAAGAAAGAAAAATTACCAGGCTGGGAAAGATTTCTGGCCGACAGAATCCAGTCAAGGGTTGGTGAGCCAAGATGGCTTCTGGCACTTGCCGCCACACTCAATATGGCGACCAGAGACCTTTCCTGGAGGAAATCACGCGAGAGGTGTATAACGTAAACTGTCTGAGAACTGAGCTGGGGGTGTGGAGCGTCCAAGATGGAGCCGGTAGCCGGTGGCTTGGGCCCGCTGATTGTGAACAACAAGCAGCCCCAGCCGCCGCCACCTCCTCCACCGGCAGCAGCGCAGCCTCCAGCCGGGGCATCCCGGGCCGGCGCGGGCCTCCTACCCGGGGGCAAAGCCCGAGAGTTCAACCGCAATCAGCGCAAAGACTCGGAGGTCAGGAGCTTCGGGGGGCGAGGCTAGCACCCGGCGAGCGGCGGCGGGGTGGGGGTCCGTGCCTCTGGCCGCTTCAGGGCCAGGCCAGGGAGCTGTCACTTTACAGAGAAAGGAGCAGCAAGAGAAGCTGGCAGCACCCGGAGCCAGGGGCGTGAAGCGCGAAGCCCCGCCGCCCGCGTGAATGTGCCGGAGCTCTGGACCGCCCGCTTGCTCCCCTGGGGTCCGGGTTGTGGGCTTGGCCGCGAGCCCGGCCCCGGGGTGAAGAGTTCCTGGTCTACGGGCGTCCCCAACTCCTAATCATTTCGAGTAGTGGTCTTGGGCGTGCGTTGGACTACACACAGCATGTGGGCAGGGCAGGGACAGCCGAGCGTTTAGTAGCTGGACAGCTAATTACAATACTACTAGTACTGAGCGGACGGAGGTTTCGAGATTAGCAGGGGTAACGTGCCGGCTCCTTCCCATCTCAGCCAGTGTAGGCTCAGACTACGGGCAGACAGTGCCTGAAGGTTGGTGAGCCCAGTGTGACTGATGCCAATCTGATATTGAAGATCAGAAATACACGTATTAAACACCCGTGAGGGCGCGGGATTCCCTCCTCCCTTGCGAGTGAGCTATGCCTCCCATCCGGAGACACCATAGTCTGGAGCTGACTATTCACCTCACCCCAAGTTAAAATTCCTCCCACTGCAGAATTCATGAATGAAGACACACACATCGCAACGTTTTAGGGAGTCTTAATCAGCACGTTCCTAGAGCACTTACTATGCAGTCTCCTTCACCTGAAACAACTCCCAGGCAGATCCGAAGTCAGGCGCGTATTAATGAGGGAATTTCTCATTGTCCAAGCATGGAGTCTGAGCTCATAGCAAAAAGTGATGATACTACCTTTAGACCGGTGAAATCAGTCCCTCTCAAACGTCTGATTTTTGTTGTTGTTGCATGCCCAATTCTTTGGTAAAATATGTGAAAAATGGGCAAGTCCAAGGTAGACATAATGAGGTTGAAGCAAATTTTGTTGTGTTTTGGTTTTTGAGACAGGGTCTTGCTATGTGATGCAGACTGACTTTGAACTCACTGTGTAGTCCAGGATGGCCTCGAAGTTGCAGCGTTCCTCCTGCCTCAGCCACCCAAGTGCTGGGATTGCAGGCGTGTACTATCATGCTCGGCTTGAAGCAGATTCTTGAAGAAGTTAAAAATCGATCTTTTAGGATCCCTTATGTAATGGGATGATGGAACATCAGTGGTGACTACTTCATAAATTTTCAAGTGTGGAGGATTATGAAAGTGGTGAGGGTGAACTCACCAGCATCTGTCCATTCGTCCATCTGTCTGTCTGCTGGCACTGAAGATTGAATGCAGAGCCTTGTGATTGCTCTACCACTGGACTACACTTCCAGCCCTTGTTTTAAAAAATAGTTTTAAATTTCCCTAAGTAGGTATAAGTAGACAAATACCATTTGATGCACTGCATTTATTTATTCATTTATTATTATTATTTTGTATTTGATACTGGGAATGAAACCAATAGCCTTGCACATGCTAGACAAGCACCCTACCACTGAGCTATACTCTCAGCCCTTATTGTGCATTTTAATTTCTTTCTGCCCTTTAATTCCTACATAGACTTAGCTCATGGAAGGCCAGTCAAATAGACCTGGTAACATGTGTAAATCTGTTACTATTACTTTATTATTAATGCAGTGCTGGAGATTGAACCCAGGGCCTTGTGCATGCTGGGCAGGTGCTCTACCGCTGAGCTATCCCCGGGTATCCCCAGGTAGATTTTATTAAGTAAGGCTTTGCCTGTTTCTTCTTGCCTCTTGACCCTTGCTTCTTTTGGTCTTCCTAGTACAAAGCTTTCAAGATGGTATGTTCTCATTAATCACCTATCCCCAGCCATAAAAATACTCTCTTTGTTACATTCTCTCCTGTGTGTGGAAGGTAAGCTAGTCTGTTCCATCTCTGCCTTCTCTGTCAGTTCTCAATGAAATTTGAGACAGGGCAGAAAGACTCGGGGTTTTGGCACTCCTATTGTCCTCAGCTGTTGGGCGCTCACTGGCCAGAAGTAAGTGAGGCTTCTGGAGTTTTAGCACTGTAAGGAATGGTCCTCACTGCACAAAAGAGAAACTTTGTGTTCATTTATTCAATGGGTATAGCTCTAGATATAAACCATTCATTCATTCATGCCAAGTACCATGCTGAACATTGTGGAGTCATTGCTGAGTGAAACAAAGTTCCTACCCTCAAGGAACTTGCAGTCTCCTGGAGAGGCAGACTCTAAACTAGTAATAGGCATAGCTTGGTTCTTAACGGCTTTGAAGCTCAACCACTTTGTATTCATTTTAACTCAGAAATTTTGTCTCAGTACACATTGTTTGATACTCAACATGCAAACTAGAACTTGTGGGTTTTGATTACCTTTTGACTTGGTTTCTTTCCGGGCCCGCCAATTACCAATTAATACCAAGGTAGCGCTGTAAACATGCCAGTATGTAATTTTAAATTATGATAAGTGCTTTGAAGGCAAAATATAATGTGCTCTGAGAGGGCTTAATATGGAGACCTGAGCTAGCCCAGGAGACATAATAGTGTGATGAAACATCAAAAAATGGAGGCAGTGGTGTCCTTTAAGATGACAGTGTCTCTGGGAATGTATGTGTTTCCTTCTTTGAAAACCACTTATGATAATTGTTTGCATAAATCTTTCTATTTTTATCCACAGGGCTATTCTGAATCTCCAGACCTTGAGTTTGAATATGCTGACACAGACAAGTGGGCTGCAGAGCTCTCAGGTAGAGCATATGCCTTCATATATTTTGAGGGTAGTTTTTTTTTCCTTATTGTTAGTCTTTCTGATTAAGAATGAGTATAATTTTGGAGTTTTTCTCTGTTAGACTTATCAGTAGTATATATGAAAGACATGTTAGTTATTTGACTCAGGCCCTGCATGTCTTGTAACTTCAGGTTGTTCTTTACTTTTACGAAGTGCCTTATTTGTGGTCGCCTCTATTTGTTAGGGCCCAGTTCCACTGTGACACAGTTAGTGAGGCTCCGTGATCATGTACCATCACCCTGACAGTGTTCTCTCCTATAGCAGTGGATCATGAGAGATGCTGACAAATACGCTTGCATCTGTGCACATCTTTTACTGCCACGGCTGTTCATGTGTAATGTGAAGTCACATGATCTGCTTCCCTAGCCTCCATCATGCGGTCCTGCTCAGAAGGTGGCACTTGAGAGACATGTTTGGGGGGATGGTCAGCCTCTGGCATGGCATGGTGGGATGGAGGCACATCGGACTGGAGGTGCCTGGGTTTATGCTCCACTGGTACTTTGGTTATCAGGTAGAAGGCAGGTCAGCAGTCTCTGCACATCTTGCACATCAGAGCACTAAGACCCCTCTAGTAGTTAGAGAGCAGAGTCCAGAAGTCCCTGTGAGTCAGGGATAGAGTTGAGTCTGGAAGTAAATGCCCTACTTTCTCTGCTACATGTGAGATTCGGTGTAAAATGTGGATACAGAGCTGATGATGATAAAACTTTGTTCTTGACAGAGCTCTACAGCTACACAGAAGGGCCAGAATTCCTGATGAATCGAAAATGCTTTGAGGAGGACTTCCGGATCCATGGTGAGATAATTGCCCCACTTCTTGGTTCCCTTTAACTTGTATCAGGAAAGCTTCAGGGTTTCCTTTAGTCAACTCAATGATTTAAGCCATCCTGGAGCAACATGAGAAATCTGCAGAACCATGTTTGCTCAAAGCCACATGTGACATTTAGAGTGGGCAGTAGGTACTTTGATGGTGACTTTTCAGGAAATTTTAATTCGTAGAACAGAAGGAAATTGTTTTTCTAGTCTTATGGCAGTCCTGAATTTGGAACATTTTTTTTTTTTAAGGGTAAGGGGTTTATTTGGCTTACAGTTCGTAGGGGTTTCAGCCCAAAATCAGCCAACTCCAAGGCAGGGATAACAAACAGGCATGACAGAGTAGAAACAACATGGCACACACAAGGCAGCAAAGGTTACAAGAGAATTGCCAATGTTTCCCTGCCCCTTTTATCTTATTCAGACTACTTAGGGCAGGAAGCACTCATACACTTAATCGTAGTGCCCTTGAGCCTAACATTGCATCATGAATCAATTCCAGCTGTACACATTCTAGATTGAGCCTATGACCACATGAGGCTTTAAGGGGACATCCAATCCCAAACTGTAACATTCTGCCCCTGTCCCCCACGAAGACTCATGCGCATTCCTTTATGTAAAAGGTATTTAGTCCATCTTTAAGAGTTGCTGAAGTCCTAAAGTTTCAGCATTGCTGAAAAGTCCAAGTCCAAAGTCACCTCCGAGATTTAAGGCAAACTCTTCAGTGCAAGCTCCTGTACTAATGAAAAGAAAGTCAAACATGTCCAATATTCAATGGCATAAGGTAGACATTACCATTCCAAAAGGTACAAAGAGGAGGATACAAAGGAATGGGACCAAAGTAAGTCCAAAATCCAGCAGGACAAACATTACATTCCACAGTTCCACTTCCACAATTTGAGGCAATCTGTGGCAAGTTGTGAACTCCAAAGGGCTTGGGTGGCTCCTCCCCTATGGCATTTCGGGTGGTTGTAGCTCCCATAGCTTTTCTCTTGGACTGGCTCTGCTCCCTCCTTACAGTTTTCCTCAGACAATCCATGCTCCTGGCTTCTCCAAACTTCTGGGGTCTCCAGTGCACCTTCGGCTTCACACTCACAGCTTCACACATTGCCCTCTCGGGGCACCCTGCCTGGCCTTCTAGGCTTTCTTCTGAAATCTGGGTGGAAGCTTTCCTGACCTCACAGCTCTTCCATTCTGCATGCACCTAAGACTGGCACCACATGGATGATGCCCAGGTCTGCTGCCAGTTGGAGCAATAGCAGGGAGCCTTCCCTCTCTCTTGGCTGTAGGGGTCAAGTGCCTGGATTGTTGAGCACTCTGAATCCAATTCTGATTAAGTTTCCCTAAGCCACCATTTTGGAACAACTTCCCTAGGTCGACACCATTCTGGAACATGGTGCTCTGGGGCTTCCTTCTCCAAGCAAAGTCCTTCACTTTTGCAGTTTTGAGGCTGCAAAGGGTGGAGTGCTGCTTCCTGTGATGCCCTCAGACCGTCTTTTCTATTCTCCTGTTCCTTCTCAGGAATCAAGATCTGCTCTACTCAGTCTTTGCAGTCCACAGCTTTACTGGAGCTTCCTTTCTGACCAAACACAAAATATTTCCATTCTTCTGGGCTTTTTGCTCTGGATTCTCAACATAGATCTGACTAAAACCCCCCAATAGTAGCCAGGCCACTGCCTCAATATTCGACTACCTTGAAATTTCTTCTGCAAGATTAATTAGTCCATCTCAGTCTCAGGCAAAGTCTCTGGACATGAACAAACTGCAGACAAACTCTCTGCCAAGCCATAACACACATCATCTGTAGTTCAACAGCCAATGCAGTCCTTTTTCACAGCAGAAATCTCCTGAGCCTGGTCTTTACTGGCTTTCTGGTCTGAGCTCTGATTAGAATTTCCCATACAAAATAGCCTAAGGCATTCCAACTCTGCTTCTGTAGAAGGCATGTCTAGATCTTTCCAAACTGTTCCCCTTCCCACAAGCCAGTTCCAAAGGCTTTTGAGCCACATGACCAGCTACGGTCACAGTAACGACCCCACTTCTCTGGTACCAGATTTCTGTGTTAGTTACCTTTCTCTCTCACTGAGACGAAATACCCAACACCAAAGTTAAAGGGGAAGGGGTTTATTTGGCTTACAGTTCATAGAGGTTTTAGTCCATAATCAACTGACTCCAAGCCAGGGGTGACAAATAAGTATGGCAGAGCAGAAAGAACATGGCACACACAAGGCAGCAAAGGAAACAAGAGCTGAATTTGGAACATTAACACTGAGTCCAATCTGTTGTGCGAATTTTTTGTGGCTCTCCTATCACTGGTCTCTTGCCCTACAGTGACAGACAAGAAGTGGCCTGAGCTGGATACCAACCAACACCGTACCCATGCCATGAGGCTGCTGGATGGTTTAGAAGTCACTGCCAGGGAAAAGAGACTCAAGGTGGCCCGAGCAATTCTCTATGTGGCCCAAGGTACCATGTGGACCTCCTGAGAGACTGTGGCACCTCTGCGAGTGACCTTATCCCTCCATACGTGTGGAGGGCTTGGTAAGCTGTGTTGTGTGTTTGCAGGCACCTTTGGGGAGTGCAGCTCAGAGGCAGAGGTGCAGTTCTGGATGCGCTACAACATCTTTCTGCTCCTGGAGGTGGGCACGTTCAATGCTTTGGTGGAGCTTCTGAACATGGAAATAGAGTGAGCACTTCTACTGAAGGGTTCAGCAGGGAAGGGAAGATGGGGTGAGAAGGGAGACGTAATTTACATAACTGGCTTTGAGAGGGGTAAATGGGCCCCTGAGCTAAGGGTTTGGTCCCAGGCTTTGTTATCACTACCTGGGTTTACATAGAGGGAGGTGCTTGACACATCATGAAGTCTAGTAGGGATTAATGACAGTCCCTGGCGTTCTCTAATGCTGGAGCTTTTACACCAGACTGCAGGTCCTGCCCAGACCCAGGCACACTCAGAAGGGGGCTTCTCATTTTGAGCTCCCTTTGAAAACTGCAAAATCCCTTGTGTTTGCCCTGTACTTTATCCTTCAGCAGGAGGCCAGACAAAGTCTGACACAGGGGATTGACCAAAGCCTGCTGTAGTTGGTGTCAGCATTGGTCCCTTGTCTATTGGACAGATCAGTTACTGCCCATATATGATAACACTATCAATAATAAGGGCTAAGAACACTCATTGAGGGCTATATGTCCCAGGCATTGTTCTGTGGACATTACATGGATTAATACATGTTAACAGCATAGGTACTATTACTACCTCAGTTTTATAGATGAGGAGGCTGAGGCATAGAGGAGTTGAGTACCTTACCCAAGTGCACATAGCTAGTGAGTGTTAGAGCCAGGATTCAAATCTTAGCAGTCATGTCTAGGGCTTGATTTCCTAACCACGTTGCCCTCTGGCCGCCTGTGCAGTCTAAGCATATATCCTAACATGATGTTCCCCCATTGGATGATACTTGTCAGGAAACACTTACCTGCCCTGCTAGGTGAAAGGGCTGACTCCCAGATCTCTCCTGTAGCAACAGTGCCGCATGCAGCAGTGCAGTGAGGAAGCCTGCCATCTCCCTGGCTGACAGCACAGACCTGAGGTGAGGCGAGTGGCAAGCCTGGGCACCTGAGCTTTAGCTAGAGTATGAGCTCAGGGTAGGCCATGGGAGGGCGTCTTTGGGTTTCCTGGCTCTGTGTGCATTCCTTCTGCACACGTTAATCTGCAAGCATGAGCATTCAGTGAGTGCTTGGTGGGTCCTGAACTCTGCATGGGAGGGTCTGGAAAACCAGGGCCAAGGCCAGTTAAAAGAGCCAGTCAAGTGTGGGCAGGAGGTTCACACTGCTGCTAAGAACTTGATTATGGTTTATATTATACTAGGACAAAACAGACAACATTGCTCCATGGATTCCCACCTTCTTGCATGCACAGCTTGATCCCTTGTCTATTAGGTTAGTCCTGACAACTTTGTGTTTCATGCCTGTGCAGGAAGTAATAGCTGCTAAACAATAAAAAGCTTGATCCCTGTCTCCATTAGGTTAGTCCTGACAACTTCATGTTTCATGCCTATGCAGGAAGTAATAGTAGCTGCTAAACAATAAAATTACCTTTCCATTTTTGTGGAAATGTGTTTCTTTTTGTGAATTTGAAAGTTTTTCAGACTGGGTATCTGTGGTGTTTCCCACTGCAGTTAGGGTCCCTGGTGTTTTTTCCTGGATTCTACTCTGTTTAGGCAAACTTTGCCCTTTTTCTAACTATAATTCAGTCTTGCTTTGACCCCCCTGCCCCCATTTCTGTATTTTTTTCCATTCTAGGAAGCTAAGGGCAGTGACTTCTTTTGGCCATCCTTGTTCATATTTATTCATTTACCCACCATTTATTAAGCACCTGCTTTGAGTAAGCACTTTATTAAACACTGAAAATGCAAAACAGTACTGGTCCCAGCTAGAGCAACCTGAAACAATGAAGGAAGCACCCGGGACGGGCCTCAGCATTCCTTTGCTTTGTGGAACACTCAGATTGTCATTTCTCAGTTTCTCTGCTACAGCCTGTTCCAGCTCCCTTAGCTATTTTCTGTGTATAGGCTTTTTTTGTGTTATCTGAGATGTGAGGAAGCCAGGGGTATCCCTTGATCCCCCCATCTTGCTCCATTATGAGCTGGCTCTTGTGCTCAGGGTTCTGCTCAACATCATGTACCTGATTGTGGAGACTGTTCTCCAGGAGTGTGAGGGTGACAAGGCTGAGTGGAGAACGATGCGACAGACCTTCAGAGCTGAGCTGGGTAGGACCCCTGGGGATGTTCGCTGGAATCCTCGCCTGGGACCTGATGCTGGAGGGCTTGGGAGGGTTCTGTTCCTGCCGTGGTCCTGATGCTTTTGGTCATCTCCAGGCTCCCCACTGTACAACAACGAGCCATTTGCCATCATGCTGTTTGGGATGGTGACTAAATTTTGCAGCGGCCATGCCCCCCACTTCCCCATGAAGAAAGTTCTCTTGCTCCTCTGGAAGACAGTATTGGTGAGCACCTCTCTGCGGGAACTCAGGTGCTAGGGACAGTGCAAGTGGGAGGCCTGCTTGCATTGTCAGCTGCAGATTAGAACTATTTGGGGAAATTAATTATATCTATACTGAACATGTATTGACTTTTTTTGATCATTATTCCCTCAGCAATACAATATAACAAAAATGTATATAGTATTTACACTGTGATAGGTATTATAAGTAATCTAGAGATGATTTAAAGTGTACAGGATATACACAGGTTATATGCAGGTACTATACCACTTTATATTAGGGACTTGAGTATCTGCAGATTTTGGTATTTGCTCTAGTGAGGGGTGAGGGAACATCCTGGAGCCATTTCCCTATGGATAACAAGAGATAACCCTATGTCCTTTTGAATCTTGAATTATATGAATGTATAACTGCTTTGGTTAAAAAAAGAAAAGATTGTTAGGAAAGCTCCTGAAAGAAGCTAACAAAGGAAATGTCATAGCCGAAGAGAATTTGGCCATTGAGTCAGATGACCCCCCTCACCCCAGGCTGTTTCTCAGTCAGAATAGCTTTACCCCCAGACAAGGTGCCTCTCAAGAAGAAGCTCTTGGAGTTTGTAAAGTCATTTGAGGCGAAGTTAGAGCTGGTGTAGTTGGGACCCCTTGGTCAGGTGTCACTTGAAGGAAGAAGCAAGGGCAAACTCTGAGCCGGCCTCCATTTTCCTCAGAGTATGCTGTGACACTGAGTCTGCTGCCATCTGGGGAGGGAATGAAGGGTGACGGGTCAGCACACTTGGCTTGGGGACATTGTCAGCAGCCCAGCCCAGGCCAAGCCAGAAGCCCTTTCCTCTCATGGGGCTCTCCCCCTTCTTTCAGAAAGGGCTGGCTCTGCAACCAGGGCTCAGTTAGTGTAGGGCTGCTGAGGAGTCATCTGTACATTTTATTTCTGCCAGGCATCCTGGTGGTTCCTCACCAAGCCTCATTGAAGCAAAAGAAGAAAGCTGAGTTGCTCAGGGCCAGTGACTGAGCAGCTTCAAATGGTCACACAGTGCTGGAGTTTGAGCTTCTAGGGAGGTGTTTAGATGAACCTTTGTTTTTGTTTTTTTGAGCAACCAACAACATATTTCCAGTTTGACTCTGAAAGAGTGGCATGCATCAACTTTAGAAGCATGAGTTTACTGACTTTTCTAGGAACTGGAGGGGGCAGATTATCCAGTTTGCTTTTTAAAAAACCTGAAAACTACAGAGTATGTAGGTAGGTGTGGTAGTGTACACCTGTAATCCCAGCACTCAGGAGGCTGAGGCAGGAGGATCACCACAAGTTCAAGGCCAGCCTGGGCTACATAGTGAGTTCAAGGGCAGTCTGAACTACATAGTGAGACCCTTGTCTCTAAACACCAAAAATAAATAAATTGAAAAGTATGTCATATGTACAGAGTTTAGGGTATCTGTATACTGTGTTCTACCAACTGGTATTTAACTCTTTCCTTGCTTCTTTTTCTCCTCTCCCTTGCCAAGATCACTGAATTTTGTTTTGGGTGGCTTTAGTCCCTCGTTCAGAGGGTGTGTGGTTCTTGATGGTATTGGGGTGCTTGATGCCATGATGAGGGACCAGCCTTATGGCTCAGGTGACCCTGGCTCTGCACCCCATCTGATGCAGTGCACGCTCGGTGGCTTTGAGGAGCTGCAGAGTATGAAGGCTGAGAAGCGCACCCTCCTGGGCCTTCCTCCACTGCCCGAGGACAGCATCAAAGTGATCCGAAACATGAGGGCTGCCTCCCCACCAGCATCAGCGTCAGACCTGATTGAACAGCAACAAAAACGGGGGCGCCGAGAGCACAAGGTAAGGTGACAGAGGGCCCACAAGGTGCCCACTTGTAGCAGCATGTGGAGGAGCAGAGTTTGATGAGCTGGTCAGAATGAATGTTTCCACAGCAGAGATGTGTTGTCCCCAGCTTCAGGCCCCAGGTACAGTGGATTCTCAGGACCTGGGACTTCTGAGGTGCTAGAGTAAGAAATGGTTTGCCATTTGGTCTTAATCTTGGACTCTCTCTTTGGGTCTCCATTGTTCTTGGCTCTCAGTTCAGCACCTTTTTGTGCTCTGTCCCTTCTGTGTCTCATCAGCTGGTTCTGGTAGTCTCATTTACTTTTCTTCTGTATTTAGGCCCTGATAAAGCAGGATAATTTAGATGCCTTCAATGAGCGGGATCCCTACAAGGCTGATGACTCTCGAGAAGAGGAAGAGGAGAATGATGATGATAATAGTCTGGAGGGGGAAACATTTCCCCTTGAGCGTGATGAGGTGATGCCTCCCCCTCTACAGTACCCCCAAACCGACAGGCTTACCTGCCCAAAGGGTCTCCCATGGGCTCCCAAGGTCAGGTGAGTCTCAGACCTCCAGAAACTCTTGGCATATGAAGCCAGAGCCCTCACACCCCCAGGCCAGCACCTGGGCTGAGTCAGGGTCAGGCCAACCTTGGCTCTGGAACAAGGCCTCTTAAAGTATCCTGTGGTATCTTGGTGGAGTTCAGGGGATTGGCCTTGATGGTCTCACATGAAATGGCCCTTATATGGCTTCTGAATTAGTAATCTGTGTTTGCATTTGGTCAGACTTCTACTGAAGGGGGATAAGAAAAAAAGTAAAAAATGAGCTGTTAGGTAAAGCCATCCCCACCCAGCTTGGTGGGTATATGGTGGTTTTGTTTGTAGTACTGGGGATCAAATCCAGGACCTCGCACATGCTGGGCTATGTACTGCATAATGGTTTCTACTAGAAAAGGAATAGATTGAGTTTCTTTGGAACCATAATTAAGATGCTTGAGATATATGTGTGTGAACTGATGAATAGGAATATACCTGGACAGATACCTTTTTAATGGGCAGCAACTTAGGAAATATAGTAGATGAGCATGTGAAAAGATACCAAAGTAACTTTCTTGATCCAGGTAAAGCCTCAGTTTTTAGTGTTCTGTGAAAGGAGTGCAGAACAAGTCATCAGAAAATATAAGGGGTAGCATTTGTTTAAGACAGGAATATGTGATCCACATGAAAAGCCAGTAGTTTATAGCTTTCAGTGTTTAAAAACATTAAATATTTAAACAAGTCTGTTGACAAGCATATAACAGTCTGAATAAGATATGCTTTTAATATATCACCTTAATTTTTTGAGTAAATTACTTATACATAATATATTTTCAGGTTATTTGTTTTATTTTACTTTTTTTTTGAGACAAGGTCTCACTGTGTAGTCCATGCTGGCCTCAGATTTGTGATCCTCCCACCTCAGCCTCCTGAGTGCTGAGATTACAGGCATGTGCCACCAACCCACCCTCCAGGCATTTTCAGGTTATTGATCCAACAAAATAAAGAACATCAAAATCATCAGAAAATTTCAGAGTTTTTTTGAAAAAAAGAAAAACAATTGTGGGAGACTTATTCTTCCCCTGGCTTCACAATTTCTGGTTGTTTTATGTTTTGATTAACTGAAACACCTTGAAATAACATTTGATAAAACTTTCCTCTTGCTTCCTTTTGCAGAGAGAAAGACATTGAGATGTTCCTTGAGTCTAGCCGCAGCAAGTTCATAGGTTACACTCTAGGCAGGTGAGTGTGATCTGAGCTCCTTTTGAAGTTCGCTCTCCTGGCCCTTGGTGTGTGAGGCCCTGGGGAAATCTGTGTCAAGCTCAGCACAAGGCTTTCTTTATTCTCTAGTGACACAAACACAGTGGTCGGACTGCCCAGGCCAATCCACGAAAGCATCAAGACTCTGAAACAGGTAAATGGCTCTAGGTGAATTTTTGGCCTCATTTGGTCCCAGGTGAGTAAAGTGAGCCTGACCTGAGTGCTTTTAGGACTTGTCTGCTGGCAAGGGCCTGGGCAGAGCAGCCGCTTTCATTTGGTACTGGCTGAGGTTCATTAAAGGTATATAACCCTCCAGGCATTGGAGTTTTAAGGAGCCCAGTCAATAGCCCTTGTCTTTCCTTTGTACATATTTTAAGGCAGCTGGGAGAGAGAAGTAGGCAGATGGTTATCGCAATGGCAGCTTTTTAACCTGGCTTAAAGAGATAGGTTCCCATTTAGAAAATTACTTGGGGCTTAGGATTTTAGTTGGAGATTTTTGTGTTGACTTAGTCCTGTTTCAGAACGCTGTGTGAAGAAAATGTGTAGGTCTTTGCCAGGCTGCAGGACTGACCAGAAAATGAGGGATGTTTTCCCCAACACCTCCTTTCCCATCTCTTTCTCCAGCACAAGTACACATCAATTGCAGAGGTCCAGGCGCAGATGGAGGAAGAATACCTTCGCTCTCCTCTCTCAGGGGTGAGTTGGAGGCCTTCACCCCACAGAATCCTCAGTTATTCCCAGAACCTGGCTCAGAGCCCTCCCAGCTCATTGCATTTGTCCAGTGCAGGAGCTACAAGCACAATCTATGAGCCAAGTACCTGCCTCTGAATCCCAGCCCCAGCAGTCAGTGGCAACAGCTTAGGCGTCTCACTAGATCTTTCTGTGTTTTATTTCTCTGCTTCGATGGTGGGAATAATACAGATACCTTCTTTTGGGTTATAATAAGGATTAACTTACTACAAGTAACACACCTGGCACATTGTATGAGTTCAGTATGCTTTCGTTGTCATCAGCATCATTCTTTACCTAGATATTGACAGATTCTCTTCCAGCCAGCTAGCAAGTTGGCTCAGGAAACTGTAGCCTGGATTGGGGTTCTGTGCTTATACCCATTGTGTTAAAAGGGAGAAGAGGAAGTTGAGCAGGTCCCTGCAGAAACCCTCTACCAAGGCCTGCTCCCCAGCCTGCCTCAGTACATGGTGAGTGCCCTGTATCCAGGCCTCCTCTCAGTGGGCATCAGTAGGAACCTGCAGTGGGGTACCCTCTCTGTGACACTGGCCAGTCTCCACCCCCGTGAGTCTTCTGTCACCAGAGGACTTACAGGATCACTGTTTCTCGGGGCTTTTTTCCTGTCCTGGGCTCTCACGTATGTGTCTATGTGGTCTGCTCTTCACAGATTGCCCTCCTGAAGATACTGCTGGCTGCAGCTCCCACCTCAAAAGCCAAAACAGACTCAATCAATATCCTAGCAGATGTCCTACCTGAAGAGATGCCGTGAGTATCATTCCTGTGAATGCAGCAGATCAACGTAGAGGGGAAGAGCAAATGTTGTTTTAGCTTGGTTTCTTTTGTTGGCCCAACTTCTCTGAAAGTTAAGTTTAGGGTATTTCTGATTCAGAAAAAGGAAACAATTGGATTCAGTAGCTTCACTAGTTAAAATGATGGCTTTAGTCTGGTTGGCCACTGAATGAATTCCTGAGTGAATTGGGGAATTCATTTCTTTGTAAAATGAATGTGGTCGGAGCATTAAACATTTCCCAGAGCCCCCCTCTAAAGTCAGGGGGACACCCACGATGACCAGGTTAGTTTCTGCACAACTTGCCAGTCACAGTTGAACCTACACTGCCATGGAGTTTCCCTGTTGGTCAGTGAACTGGCAGGCAGAATCCTGGCAAATATCTTAGGGGTTAGAGTAAAGCCCTTAGGAGTTCTTCCTCCCATGACTGACCTCATCTCTTTGATGTGAGAGTGAAAACTCAGGCCTCTACCTGATCTCCTACCTGCTGTGAGCCCACCTGCCAGTTGGCTGTGACCCTGGAATCTGACAGTGATGGCCACGTAAGGGAGGAAGCTTGGACAGAGAGTGGATCACTGAACACTAGGCCCTAATTATCCTAGGAAAAAATGTTCCATGTCAAATATTACAATTTTTATGAAGATTTATAGCAAGAAGTTCTGAATTAAGAAACTGATATAACTTGGTGCTTCCTTTATCCAACTCCAGAACCTTTTTTTCCTGGTGACACAAAACTTCTCAGTGTACAGTACTGGTATTCCACTGGGAAACTCAAGTTAATATGGTGACCAAAGCTTAGGGGAGATCTTGCAAAGGAGAAGTTCATTTTTGTAGAAAAAGAGAAACAGTTTAAGAATGTATTGTAGTCATCATAAAGAAGAAATAAATTGTACTAAGCTAGATTGCCTAGGACAGTGATGGTGAACCTTTTAGAGATGAGTACCCAAACTGCAACCCAAAACCCGCTTACTTATCACAGAGTGCCAACACTGCAACTAAACCTGAATACTCTGGGTTTAGTTTAGAAAAAAAACTTCATACGTTAACATCTTTTATCTTAAAAAGAAAAATAACACTCATCCCATAGGTTCACCACCACTGGCCCAGGAGGTGGATGAAACCCTGGCCTGGACCTCTTAAGATGTCCAAGGGGTTGGGACCTTTGCCCAGAGGGCTCAGAAATTCATCTCTGCTATGGGCACCTAAGAGGAAGTGCTGCACGAGCTTGCAGCTCATCTGTGCGCCTGTTTCCAGCACCACAGTGTTGCAGAGCATGAAGTTGGGAGTGGATGTGAACCGTCACAAAGAGGTCATCGTTAAGGCCATTTCTGCTGTGCTGCTGCTGCTGCTCAAGCACTTTAAGTTGAACCACATCTACCAGGTACCTACAGGTTCCTCCTTCCTGTCTGCTGGGCCCACGCCTTGAGCATTGCTTCTCCATCAGCCCATAAGAACGGGGCTTTGTCCTTTGAACCCACTTAAACTCTGCATGAATGTTCTAAAGCACTGGAAGAAAGAAGGTAAGGTCTTGATGAGTGTGCTTAGTTTTTTCTTTTCTGTTGGTTTCAGTTTGAATACATGGCTCAGCACCTAGTGTTTGCCAACTGCATCCCTTTGATTCTAAAGTTCTTCAATCAAAACATCATGTCCTATATCACTGCCAAGAACAGGTGATGGGGATCAGGGACGAGGAAGGGGTAGTTTGGCCAGATGGCAGGGCTCCCGGCTTGTCTCTCCCACTGAGTCCATTCACTTAACATTTTTCCAGCACCTATGAGCCAGCATTATGCCAGGCATCAGGACTCAGTGATGAATAAGACAGGATTCTTGCCAGAGGAGAAGCCAGTGTATCAGATCTGAGTCCAGTGAGTCTAGTGACAGGTGACTCAGTCTGTGCCTGGGCAAGGGCTCTCATCCAGTTTGGAGGCCCCAGTTTTTGTTTGTTTGTTTTTGTTTCATTTTATGGTACTGGGGCTTGAACCTGGGGCCTGCTGAGCTACATCTCCAGCTCTTATTCTTTTATTTTGATGGAGTGTCTCACTGAATTGATTAGTGTGCCCAGAAACTTGCTGCTTCAGCCTCCTGGAGTGCTGGTGTTACAGGTGTGTGCCACCACCACACCCAGCTGCACTGTACAGCCCTATCTGCTGACTCTTACACACATACATACACTCTCACACACACATTCAAACCTGCCTCTTGCCAGCTGCACTTGGCTGCCTGCTCATCAGTGTGAGACACCACAGGATGAGCTGCCAGCCAGGTGCCATCTCAAGTAGGGTTTAGCATAAATTAGTTGCCCTGAGCTGTCTCCTGCCTCAGCCCCAGATTCATTGCTGTAGGGAAAGCTACAGTAGGGTCTCCACCCCTTACAAGGTTATAGACTGTTCTCCAGCCACAGAGGAACTTCTAAGTTCTCATGTAGTCCCTATTTACAGCTGGGGAAACTGGGACAGGGCAAACAAGGTAGGTTCCTACTTGTGCTCCAAGGCATGATGCAGGAAAGCCAGGAGCCAGGGTAGTTATAGCTGCCTCATCAGACTCCAGCGTTTGCTCATGACGGGCCCCTGGGTTCTCTTGCCCCTTCAGTATCTCTGTTCTGGATTACCCGAACTGTGTGGTGAATGAGCTTCCAGAGCTGACTGCGGAGAGCCTGGTGAGTGGCTGGGCTCTCCCAGCTGACCCTTGGGCATGAAGTTTGTCTCCCCCAGTGTAGGGACCGAGGTGTCTTCCACAGAGGGGAGCACTTTTGAGGTCACCAAAAGTGCACAGAAGGGCAGGGGGAGGAGCTCGTAGAACAGAAGGATTTGGATATAGAGGGTAATCAGGAAGCATGGTGCTCAGGGGTTACTAACCCTCAGCTTGCCTAGTAGAATTGCTTCCCTCTTCCTACATGGGGCTCCAGGGCCACAGCCCCGGGTTTTATTACCCATGTTACCTGCAGGAAAATTTGTGAGCTCCCTGCCCCCGCCGGTCCCCCTGCCAACTTCTGGGATGGAGTTCTCCCTGGGCAGCCCTGAAAGGAGAGGCTTGGGCACCCAGCTATTCTGATATCATATGTGGTGAAGGCTTTCTGGAAACTGCTGAGCAACCTGCAGCCATGAGGGTTATGATTATTTCTGGTTTTACTTGGCAGGAAGCAGGTGACAACAACCAGTTTTGCTGGAGGAACCTCTTTTCTTGTATCAATCTGCTTCGGATCTTGAACAAGCTGACAAAATGGAAGCATTCAAGGACAATGGTGAGTCAGTGCCATCAGCAGGCCTAAAATCGGTCACTCAGAAGAGTTCCACACCTCATACCTGTACCTTCCCCTTCTCTAGGAGCTGGCAGTTCTGGGGTGGGGGATTGCTGCTGAAGCTGTGTCTTAAGATTTGCTGTAGCCATTTTAAGAACTGACTCCTGGTTCCTTCATGAGTTGAAGGAAGACTGGAAAAGGCTTAGTCATGCATTAAAACAAACCACACTCATAGATAAGTTTTTTCTATATCTTCTTAATCTCGATTGGTAATATAACCAAGGTCCTGGGAACTTCTGTTAAACCTTGGTCTGGGGATGCCTGTGGGGTGAAAAGGTCCATGAATTCTCTGAAAATATATGTATGTGCATGGAATGTTCTATTGAAGGAATCCATAGCTTTCTTTAGATTCCAAGAGTCTTTAGATTGTGTAATTAGGGTGACCAACTATGCTGATTTGCCTGGGCTCTCCCTGTTTTGGTGTGTGAAGTTGCATGTGCTAGCAAGCCCCTGAGACCAAGGGGAACTGGAAACTGGAACAGCTCATCACCCTGTGACAACCCCAGGTGGTACATGAACTTATTCCTGCCCTCACCCTGGGGTGCTTTGTGTGCCTTGCCCAGATGCTCGTGGTGTTCAAGTCAGCACCCATCTTGAAGCGGGCCCTGAAAGTGAAACAAGCCATGATGCAGCTCTATGTGTTGAAGCTGCTCAAGGTGCAGACCAAGTACTTGGGGCGGCAGTGGCGCAAGAGCAACATGAAGACTATGTCTGCCATCTACCAGAAAGTGCGGCACCGGCTGAATGATGACTGGGCATATGGCAATGGTGAGGCCACACACAAAGTAGGATGGGGGAGAGTGGCTATGGGGAAAGGTGACATCTTGCAGTGAGCTTTCCACTAGGGAACAGGAAGGAACCCAGCTCCTGCTATTGTGGCATTAGGATGGTCAGGATGGGAGCTCTAGGAAGGACTTGGGGCAGCATCTGAGGTCATCCCCCATTACTCTCTGTCCCTCCCTTCCGGGCCATTCCTTTTCTAGAAACTTCACAAGACTCTGCCCCTCTTTTTATCTCCACCTCAATTGCCCCTGAGTTGCTGTAAACTCATGGGGAGCTGCTATAAGGCTGGGCTCCCAACTGTGTCTTTCTGCTTTATCCCAGATCTTGATGCTCGGCCTTGGGACTTCCAGGCAGAGGAATGTGCCCTCCGTGCCAACATTGAACGCTTCAATGCCCGGCGCTATGACCGGGTCCACAGCAACCCCGACTTCCTGCCAGTAGACAACTGCTTGCAGAGTGTCCTGGGCCAACGGGTCGATCTTCCAGAGGATTTCCAGATGAACTATGACCTCTGGTTAGAAAGGGAGGTCTTCTCTAAGCCCATTTCTTGGGAAGAGCTGCTGCAGTGAGGCTGCTAGGCGGGAAACAAAGGGGTGATCGCATACCTGAAGGACTGTCCTGGTGATTGCTGCAGTGTTCCCATACCCCTCCAGGTGGCAGCACAACCCCACGGTGTCCTCCACAGCCAGCCCTGGGCCTGTGGGTGAGCCCAGGTTGGCCTCTGGTTTCCAGTGCCCTACTCAGGAGCAGTCATCTCTCTGCTCAGGATCTACTCTTCTTCACTCCTCCCCAACTCTCATCCTCCTCTGTTGGACATGGCTCATTTCACAGTCAACCCAAGGCTGGGAAAAGCTGGGCTGAGCTGGGCACCTCTGCTCATCACATCTGAATTTCAGGGTCACAGTGACGTTTTCTGCGATACCCAGCCTTGGCATATCAGCTTGCCAAGAAAGAGGGCTTAGAATTAGGGCCAAGACTAGCAAGTTGGCATCTTGGTTGTACTTTGGGGGTTACTGATATCATTCCAGCTTCCTGCTAAGTTTCGTCCTGAAGCAACAGTAATGGCTACTGCAGCTGTTGCAGCTCTTTGGTTTTGGACAAGGTCAAGATGGAAGAGAGGCTTCCCTTAACCAGGGGTACTAGTTTCCTCTGAATTGCAAGGGCCTGTAAATATCTTACATAATTCTGTGTGTGTTCTCTTGTGTCTTGTTGGGAATTTTATGTGTTTGTGTATTCTGTTTACATTAAAAGGGAGCAAAAACAATCCCTGTTGCCTTGTCTTCTGGAAATATGAACTCTGAAAATCTCCAGTTCTCAAAAGTTTTTTCCCGCCAGCACAGATAGGTTACTTGTCTCCTTCCAGACTGAAGGGGAGGAATGGAAAAATTGATACCTGTCCAAAATGTTATCTCCCCACTACCATCTGGGATTGCTTCAGCCTTGTTTCAGTGCTCTGGGTTGCTGGAGTGATATGTGGTCCTGCACCCCTGGGTTTGATATAGTTTCGTTAGGAGCCCCAGGTTTCTTGGAACCACTCCCCTGAGCTGGCCACAACCAGTCCAGTTTCAGTGTGAGGTCAAAGTGTGGTCAGCTGCTCATGTCCTCACGGGCAGGTGGCTGAGACTGAGGGGAAACTTTTGCGCTCAGGACCAGGAAAACACCATCAGGAATCAGTTTTGTGTTGGGGAAGTGTTGAAGAGCCCCGTGGCTATGGGAGAATCGAACAAAACCTTTGTGGTAGGTAGGTGTCAGTTGAAACCTAGAGACTGTATTCACTCACAGATCCCTGGCATTGCTGTCTTTACCTCCCCCAGCTTCAGGCTCTGCCTGAGGATATTACCATTTTGATGCTGGCAAAGGAGTATTCACTTTCCAGAATTGCTGGAAAGTCCCTTATCTTACTCGTAGGCAGTGTGTATAAGGTCTTAAACCGTCAAAGGGGTCTTGTCTGACAAAGGAAACGTTCTTGGGAGAAAGTCTCTTTATTGGTTCAGTGCTTGCTTGGGATCCACTGTCAGGACCCAGTGTCAGGATGGACCTGGGTGCACCACCATGATTAGGAGCAGCCAGGTAGAAGGATCACATGGCCTTTGGGATTGGGAGCCCCCTATGATCAGCTCTTTTTCTCCAAAGTAACCTGCACAGGGCAAGGCAGTTCGATAATGGTTTTTGTGTGCGTGATGGATTTTTTTATTGTTTCCAGCCAGGACTGACAAGAAGTATGTGTTTTGTTATTTCCATTTAGGGAAGATAGAGATTTACCTTTTTAATTCCAGTATGCATCGGTTCCTAAAATAGCCTGGCCTGAGGCTTCAGTCCCCTTCTGTCTTTCCACTTCCCCCATATCTCTTCTCAACTGCAGAAAAGAAGACACCATCAAGCCTGGGCTGGGGATCCCTTAACTATAGAACCAGGTGCTGGCCTGGGGATGGAAGAGACTTTTTATAGCCTCAAAATATGTTAGTGGCAGGTGGGCCACTTAAAGCCAGGTCTTCATATAGAATTATCTTTTGGAGAAATGTCTTTTTAGAAGGGCAGGGTCCAAGAAGGCCCTCTGTAAGTGGCCGAGTTGCATAGAATGTTAATCATTGCTAACCTGGCTCAGGATTGTTGCTGCTTCATCCACTGAGGGTTGGATTACCCTGGGGCTTGTATCACCTTGCGGATAGGAATTGGCCCTTGCTAATCTTTTTTCTTTTTTGGTACCGGGGATCAAACTCGGGTCCTTGTGCTTGCGCAGCAGGCGGCGAAACCACTGAGCTAAATCCCCAGCCCTCCCCTTGCTAATCTTAAGAGTTAACTGCTATGCTGGGTGCCAAACTGATATTAGATATAATTTGAGTTATATAGAGTAATTGCTACCTGTAATAACCCCTAAAGTAAATACCATTGCAATCCCTGTGTTTCAGATGAGGAAACTGTAGTACAGAAAAGGAAAAGAAGTTGGCCGAGGTCATATGAAAAAGGGGCTAGAGACAGGATTCAAACCCAAGTCTCTGCAGTATACATGTCCTGAGACCCTTATTAATCAGCATCACTGCCTATGCTCATTTGTTCCCCCTAGTATTTGCTCTTGCATGGTCCCTGGCACAGAAGATTTGTAACAAATGTCCCTTGCCTTAGGCCTTGACCACCAAAGCTTGGCCTCAGTCATGACCTAGTCCCTGGTTGGCCCTGAATATATACCCTCAAGGTAACTGCTACTCCCTCCTTTTTTATCCTGAGCCTCAATTTCTTTCTCTCCTGGTCCCAGGGAACTCTCCTATCAGCTGTCCCTGTCATACTTATTGGGCTTATCTCCCTGGAGGCTGGCTTCCTGTCTGTCCCCCAGTGAAATGACTGCTCAGAGACACAGTAGCTCCTTCCTTCATTTGACACTTGGTGCAGTCAGCCTCAGGCTGCTCTTCTAAAGCAAGGGTTTAGGTCTCTTTCACTGAGAGACCTGGAGGTAATCAGGCGCTAAGCCTCAGTTGGCTTAGCTATAAAACATGGTTTTGTAATAACCTTATAGCAAGGGCTGAATAAGATCCGGGGTAATGAACTCACATTATCTGGCTCATAAGGCACAATAATAAATGGTAGGAACTGTTAGCATTGTGAACGTTCCTTCCAACTCTGACCTATGAATCTCTGTCGATTTTCTGTGTCTCCTAGAAAACAAATCTCCTCTGGGGACCAGAACTCTTGGGCCCTTAAATCCCCTATCCTAGCTCATTCCTCTGAACCCAGAGGCTTCTCAGAAGAGCCGGCTACTCAGCCATCCACCCCTGCATCATACCTTAAAGCCTGCTCCAGGCCAGGCCCCGTGCCAGGTTCCTGCCCTGGATGTCCAGGTGAATGGGACACCAATTTCCCTCCTCCCTCAAAGCTTCAGAGAGGGACTCCTGAAGGGCCTAGATAATGTCCCCCTCCCAGAGGACAGACTGGACTAGGGGAGCCCACAGTCCTTGAGTAGGAAGAGAGGGGCTCCGGCCTTAGCAACAAGGGCTCTGGGAGCAGATCTTGTGTGCTTGTCCTCCAGGTAGAAATGGCTAGGCTGAGCCAGTGGTGGAGAAGGCTGGGCAGGGGTAAAGTAGTTCACCCTCAGCAGAGTCAGGGAAACAAATGGCTGCCTAGCTCCTGGGTGTGCTAGGGTCTGTTCCTGTCTAGGATACAGAGGGTTTGCACTTCAGGGTTGTAATTCAGGTTGATGTGTAAGTGATTGGAAGAGAAGAGAAAGAGGATTGAATGCCTCTAATGAGAAGCAGTCCCCCTGCTTGACTGAGGCAGGAATCCTAGACTGACAGGACCCTTGGCTAGGGCCTTCCAGTTCTGTCTGACCTAGCAGCCAGGCTCCTGCCAGGACCAAGGTTTAAGGCTTGAATCTTTGGGTGCCTCACAGGAGCATAGAAGAGCTTTAGCAAAGGGAGACTGAGCCTAGCACCTTTCCTAAAGTTGGGAGTCCAGGTGAGGCCACTTCCCCTTCACTGTCCCAGGAGTGAAGGGTCCAGCCAGGCCTTAGGGAAGTTACAGGGCCTACGCTGAGGCCTCAGTTCACCTCTGGAGTGAGGCCAGGGCCAGGGGCATCTGGAAACTTGGGGGCTGTGTCCTACGGGTGTGGAGGAGGGGGAGCATGGCTAATGGGAAGCAGGTGGAAGGGCTGCCTATTCCCCAGGCAGGGGACAGGATGACTGGGATGGCCAGTCAGTGGGAGGACCCGTCAGCTCACGATAGTCCCATGGAACAGGCTCCGGGATACCCATTCATATTCATTATGTGTGAAGTGGGTGGTTGTAAAGATAGCTTTCTCTTCATTTAGCTGTCACAGGACAGAAAAATATGAGCTGTGGGTGGATGCCCCTGGATGGGAGCCAGTAGCCAGTCACTGGCCTCCCTGTGCCCTCCCCTCTGCAGTTCCCCCAGCTTGGGCCCTCTCCTGGCCTCTGCCCATAGCCTCGGCCTGCCTCTACCACTCTTCCTGCCTCGATTTCATGCTCAACTTTATTTTCTTTTGTTTTGTGCCTCTTTGGGTTCTTTTGCTCAAGCTTCACATATCCTTTCCTCTTCCTTCTCTCCATCTTGTTCTAAGCTGAGAAAAAAAGAATCATGGTTTTCTTGACCATCACTCCATCTCTGGCACAGAACAATACCTGGCACAGAGTGGGATCACAACAAATGTTTGCAGAATAAACTAACCTCTCCCTGCAGCTCTCTGACATTCATAGACAGAAGATCCCAAACTTCTGACTACCCTATGGGTGAAGAAACTTCGAGTACAGTGGTGTAAGCCCTAGAGTTAGAAATGGGGGCCTAAGCCCCAGTTGCATTACTGACCAGTGGGTCAAGGTATAGGAAGGAGGCTCATCTATCAGCAGTAGCTAGAGGAGACTTTCCCTCTTGGCTTACTCTGCCCTTCTGATGGTCCCCCCCTCTGTCAGTGTCAGGACAAAGAGGAAAGTCACTGTCAGAAGCTAGGGAAGGAAAAAGAGGGCAGGCACTGCCGCCTCTGGGGATGTGTGGCCTCCTTGCTGTGACTGTCTTGGTTGAGAAATCTGATCCGATGGAGGACTTGCTCCCTGCTTGGGAATAAGCATGATACTGATGTGTCTTTGTGTGCTTGGGTTTCTCTGTGCCTGAAAGATGAGGCATGCAGAGGGGGTGGCTGGGCTGTAGCTGAGACAGAATTCTTCTGAGCAATGTGGTTGTGTTTACTGGGAGGGTGGGAGGGCCAGGCCTGCTTTTTTCCTGCCTTCCAGGCTCCAGAGATAAGGCAGAAAGTGGGGATGAAGGATAGAATGGGTAATACTCTGAAACCACAAGAAAGAGTTCTGGTTTTTGTCTCTGCCCTATAGCTCAGATGTGCTCCTGGGGCATCTGCGAGAAGTGGCTGCCCCACCCCCAGCACACCGGGGTCCTAGCTCACAGGAGCTCAGGGCCCTAGTGGGCACCCTCTGCTTCTGTTCTCTCCATTGTCAGTTCAGACATTAACTTATTTCCGCCTTTTCATTGCCCTTCCAACCCCCAAATTTACCTGCCAAAAGAACCTAGCCCTAGAACTGGGCTCTCTTCCCTGCCTCTCAGCACCAGCTGAAGCCCCAGAGACCCTGGGCAGGTGACAGGACCAGGGATGGCATGCACTGAGCTTGAGGGCTTTGTAGCAGGCCCACCTTCCCCTAGACCAGTAATGGTGAAACTTTTAGAGCTTTAAATGATAGAAAGCGCCCTCTGTGGCATGTGTGCCATAGGTTCACCACCAAGGGCCTAGACTCTGAACCTTGCTGGCCTTTCCAGGAGAGCTTTGCCCGCCTGGACCCTAGACACTGAGAAGCCTTAAAGAAACCAAGTGCCAAAACCTTGGGGATAGACGGTTATCTACTATGAAAACATCACCACTTTTATTACTATGCTGGGCAGCACTTTTTTTTTAAACAAAAGTATCTTTACAAAAATGGGGGTTGGGATCTCAGGGACTCAGAGACTGAAGAACTCTGCTTTATTCTGACCAACATACAGTATGGTTACCACAGCATAGCCCTGGCCTGATCTCATTGAGGTGAATCCAAATATTTGGTGGTTGCTGGTGGAATTTCTGCCCTCTTGGAGGAGCATGTTGGGAGATCGGGCACTTGCGGCCTTAAGGGATGGGTGGGGCAGAGGAGACGGCATCCTTTATGCTGACCTTCACCTTCCCGCCTGTCACCGCCAGACTCTGGACGCACGCCCCCTGGTGGTGGAGAGGGGGATGCAGGTCTTCCAGGTGGTTACAGAAGACTAGTTTCTACTGTCTCAAAGAGCTCCTTCCAGTTTAATCTGCATCCTCCTCCCCTCTTTCTGGGCTCCCTGAATGAGGAGCCAGTTAAGCCAATTCAGCTGGAGAGATGGCAGCTGGATTTAGACAAAGCCTTGAGGAAGCAGACCTGGGTATCCCTCCCTCTATCCCAGTTTGAGACAGGAAAAATCCTGCCCACTCTGAAGCTCCCTTTCTCCTAGGCAGTCCCATGTTATTTTAAGAGAACCCTGTAGACTGTTTCCTGCTGGGTGCTGAGGGTCCCAGCTGCTCTCTCAGGCCTCAGATACCATCTGAGTGCTCTCTGGTATCCAGGAAAGGGTGGACTGGGAGCAACTGGAAACAGAAAAGGAGATGGGCAGCTTAATCTGTGTGTCCACACAACTTATCACGTGGTCCAGTTCAGCAGGCTAGGTGGCTCCTTGGGCTTCACCCTGAGTGAGACAAGGCTTGGGGACTTGTAGTCGCCATCTGGGGAGGGCTCAAAGCTGTGGCCCCCCAAGGTGGGGGGAAAGCCATGGATGGAGTAGATGCCAGGGTGTGCTGCAGGGGATGCTGGCACCCCCATGAAGCCAGCCACATTCCCATGGGAATGGGAGTATGGAGACATGCAGGGGGAGGGGATGCCCTCTGGAGACATGAGGCAGGGGCCCCCTGGGCTCCCAGATCCTGGGCTGGGCCACAGGGAGTTCTGCAGCTGAAAAGAGAAGGAAAAAGAAAGTCCATGAACTGTAGCCCCAGAAACTGTGTTACCTAGTAGCTCTCTTTGTCCTTGAGGCCCCAAAAACTTTCCAGGAAACTTCTACTTGGCCCAGGACTCCTGCCTCTTGTCCCCAGTATTGGCACCCAGGAGGCCCTTGCTACTGCTGAACTTTCTTCTTTGGCTCCTTTATGTTCAGGCAAGAGCCTGGCCAGAGCAGGCAAGAGCCCCAATTTGCAGAGGAAGAAGTGAAGTGATTTGCCCAGGTCACCCAAGGCCCTGATGCTGCTCCAGGTCTCCCTGGGCCAGAGCTAATCTTCTTGCCGGTGATTCCATGGGTGATGCCAAGCCCTAACTCAGGGTGGGCCTGGAGTCTTACCTGGGGGTGGCTGTCAGTGCGGGGCAGCACAGAGATGTCATAGGCAGCTGTGAAGGGGTTCCGCCCCTCCTGCATCTTCCCATAACGCTCACGCTTCCGCCACTTGGCTCTGCGGTTCTGGAACCAGACCTGAGGAGGGGTGTTGGGGGGGGGGGGGGGGGTGTGCTAGAGCACCCTGAAGAGTGGAGCCTGCTGGGGAGAGAGCTGATGGTTGTGTCCTCCCTCGGGGTGGGAGCTGGCTTCAGGCTAGAGGATTGAGAGCTGCTGTGACTTATAATCCACATTGTTCTCAGGGCAAGGGGAGCCTGGGATAGGCCAAAGCCCAAACCATGTTTACCGGCCCCATGGGCCCCAGCTACCATTCTCCAGGCTGAGTCATAGTCACTCTGTTTCTCCAGCTTGGTGTGTCTGGCCAGGGTGTTGTGAGGGGTCTGTGGACGTCAGAGGCCCACAGCACTTCTAGGTGGCCCAGTGCCTAGGTTATGGGGGTTCTAGTCTGCTTGATTCTTCTCCTTTTCCAGGCTCCCCACCTCGAATCATCTGAGGAATCATAAAGACATTCTCTGCAGCTCATGGTCCCTTTTAAACCCTCAGTGGTTCCCTAGAGACCTTGGCCCAGAGCCCAGCTCCTTGACAGGGCCCCTTGCGATTGGCCTCTGCCCCCTCCACAGCCTCAAGTCCTACCAGGCAACAGTACTCAGTCATTCCTAGTTGCCTCTCAAACTCCCACTCTTGCTGTCCTTGGAGGCACTCCTCGATTTTGCTCCTTCCTGCCTTTGGTTAGGTTTTTCCTGCTTGAGTTCCCACCTCCCCAACACACACGTCCAGCTTGGGCATCTCCACTGGACATCTGTAATACCCTAACCCCTCTCACTAATTCTGTTCCCAGGATCGGTTAGGGAATTGCTTCTGTTCATTTGTGAGCTCTTGGCAGGTGGGGTTGGCATGTCTGTATGTTGTGCATATCCGTGTACTTATCTGTGATGGATATGTTGTCTGGTACATGTCCTATACTGTTATATTTGTTTTTGGTACCAGGGATCAAACTCGGGTCCTTGCGCTTGCTCAGCAGGCGGCGAAACCACTGAGCAAAATCCCTGGCCTATACTGTTATATTTATGTGTATTGGTATATACATTTTTTTTAGTTCTATCATTTCCTGTTTGTAGGTCAGGCTCTGAGCTAGATGTTGGTAATATCAAAACGAAATCAAACAAAACTGCTGCTTTCCAGGGATCTAGCTAGGAATCCCAACAGAAGAAGCTGCGAGTGTGTGTGTGTGTGTGTGTGTGTGTGTGTGTGTGTGTGTGTGTTACATGTGTGGAATCTAGCTATCCTGGCTGCGATGAGATGAGAACCCCTACACACACGGCCCTCCCCATGGTCATTCCTACTCCTGCAGGCAGGTAAGGCCCCAACAATTAAGAGGCTGTGCACATCCCTAGCCCCTCATTCCCAGGTTTCAAAGATGTCTGAGCAGATCTGGCCAGGGTCAAGGAAAGCCACACTGTCTGCTCAGCTTTCTGGTTTTCTTTCTCTCATCTCCTCTGGCAAGCAGATGAAGGAAGCTCGGCCAATTTGATAACTTTACAGGAAGTTACTTCCCTTTTACTGCCATTTCCTCTTAGGGTCCCCCCTGTGGACCTCTGGCTGGGCTAGAACCTGCCCCATGCATTGTCTCTTGTGTGGTCTTGTTATTCCTCTCCATGAGGTGGGGCTTATGGGTAGGTATCATTCTCCTGTCAAAGAAAACATCTCTACTCTATGGCCTCAATCATTAGGAAAGCTCCTCATGGTTCTGTGTTGAATCCAGCTGTCAGACCGTCTCTGCTCCATGACAGCTGGCCTCTACAGACTGGCCTGCCAAGCCCCACGTGACCCACAGCTGGTCTCTGCCCCAGCACCTTCAAAGAATCTCTGGAAGGACCCCATGCAAGATGTGATAAGCATGAGCTTTGCCCCTGTTAAGTCTTCTTAGTGCTGGATGAGGCAGGCTTCTCTGTCAGAGCAGACCCCTTCTCACCTTTCCCTAGAAGCCCAAGCCCACTGCTCCCAGTGCCTTCTGCTTGGTATCAGGAAGCCTGCTAGGAGCAACCCCCTTCAAAGCAAGGCCACAAATTGTCTTCCTCTTGGGCCAGACTTATACTGAAACTCTTTCCCAAGCCCCAGCCTTGCTTGCCACTTTCATGCTCTTTGACAAACTTCCTTTCCTCTCCCACCATCTACCTGCCTCCACTCCCCACAAGCTGGCCTCCTGGCTTTGTGAGGCTGCCCACAGCCCCATCCAGAAAGCTCTGGGGTCTGGTCTCTGTGGGGGTGGGGTGAGGGGCAGCTCCTGGCCAGGTTCTCTCAGCTAGGGATGGGGCTGGCAGGGGCTGAAGGTCACTGGCTCACGATGACTCTGATGCCCCAGCAGGGACCTTCCCATTCTGGGTACCTACCTTAGGAGCAGCCCTCATATGTGTTCAACACTTCACTGCTGCTAAGATGCTGCCTAAGTTGCTGAGACTCAATGACATGCCCCAAATCACTTGACTAGCTGGTAACTGAGGCACAGTTAGGATTCCTACATAGGTCTTTTGACTCCAAGATGTCATAACCCATCTACACAGGCATAAGCCTCATCCTGGGATGGAAAAGCCTGTGCTGCAGCAGAGCTAGACATGCAGAACGAACCCCAAAGGCCCAGGCTTGGGCAAGATGTGGGTGAAGACCCCTCTCAGCTCTTCCACATCTGGCCCATGATCTGAGTGGTTGAGACAGCCAGACAGCCTGATGCCCACAGTGCCCTCACCTGTACCCTGGCCTCAGTTAGGTCCGTGCGCAAAGCCAGCTGTTCCCGGGCGTACACATCAGGGTAGTGGGTTTTCTGGAAGACTTTCTCCAACTCCTCTAGCTGGAATGTGCTGAAGGTGGTGCGGTTACGGCGCTTCTTGCTCTTGTTCTTGGCCAACTCCATGGAGTCAGGGAGTCCCGGGGAAAGAGGGACACGCAGACTAGCCAGGCAGGGGCCTGGGGAGCCTTGCAAGTTAGAGGGTCCGTCTCTGGGGCCCCCTCGGCAGTCCAAGGGCAGCTGGGGGAAGCTGGCAGCTTTGGAAGCCTTCTCCTCGGCTGCAATGGAAAACAAAAAGGAGGATGGAAAGCGAACCAGGGAGTTTTGCGGGTAGAATGGAGGGAGGGGAAGAACATTGACGCTTCAGACTCCGCCTCCCCTTTCCTCTTCTTTCCCTTCCCGTCCTCCCAGCAGCCACCTTCCTTGGGAGCCTGGCATTCAGAGGCCTGCTTGCTGAGCCTCCAGCTGGGGAGGGGCTCTGGGGAAGGAACTGTGTGCTCTGTGGTCTGGGTGGATCTGCTGGGGCCAGAGAGGGGTTCATTTCGGGGAAGTACTCTGTGGTGGTGCATCCCACAGGGTGTGGAGGTGCCAGGATTGGCGCCACATCAGGGACTGCCACTTTGGTGGGCCAAGAATTGGGACAGGGAATGAGGGTGGGATAGTTGACATCTCCCACCCCGCCAGGAAGCACTCCCTTGTCCCTGACTCCGCAGGCCTTGGCTCCCTTGTCATATGCCCGCACCTCTGCTCCAGGGCCAGGCAGGCAACAGACAGAGACTCAGACCACCTTTGGCTGGTCTGGCCATGCCTTGGCCTCTGAACCCCAAGTCTCGTGCCAACAACATCAAATCCCCCAGCTCTGGAGTAGAAGGGTAAATGGAACAAATAATTTTCCAAAAGGATGGCTTCTCTCATTCCTCCCAAAGTTGTGGGGTCTAGGCAAGGACTTAAGCAACAGACAGGTAGATGGAGGCCAGGTAGGATATGTTCAGTGAAGGAGAAGTGGAGGACCAGCGTCACAACGGGGCACACTCCCTCCTCCATTATTCACACATCCTCGCCTGATGTTCCCTCAGGAGTTTCTGACTGCTCTCCCATTGCCTATGATGAACAGGCAGGGAGGGCTTGACTGCAGACTGAGAACAGTTCCCAGCAGCCCCACACTGCCATGCTAACCCTCACTCAGGAAGCTTGACAGAGCCCCATGACCGACCAACAGAGCATGGTGGAAAATAGGTCACCCCAGTCACCCTCACCCTCTCTCTGGCAAAGACCCCCAGTGTTGTCCCCATGAAGTCCCTCTTTACAGTCCTCTGGGATGGCAGCCACGACGCCACAGAGACGCCCCACTGACTCACACAGCCTCTTTTCTGGCCCTAGGCCCATCTCCAGTGGAGGCCTGGCTCCTAGAAGGCCCAGCTAGCAGGCACTGAGATGCAGTTTCTTCTCAGGGATGTGGTGTGAGGTTCACATCTGGGGGTAGGGGACTTGAGAGCTTCTAAGGATCTGGGTCAGATGGGGCCCCTGTCTGCCTTGTGAAGGACAATTTGGACAAGGTCCTCTTCAGCTGGAAGGTGGTTAATGACCTCCCAGGACCACCCAGACAGTGAAATAAGCTCCTCATGTGTGTCCCAGAGGCCTGGAACAGCCAGAAAGGGGTTGACCTCCAGCTACACCTAGCCTGCAGCAACAGCCAGATATCAGGTTTTCACAACTCAGGTAAAATCAAGGGGAAGAAACATAGCCTCTGCCTTCCATTCTTGGCCAACATATTTTGTTTCTAGGGGTAGTTCCATTTGGAAGGAAGGAGGACTCATGGAAGTTGAATGAAATAACTGAATATAGAGCAGGGAGGCTGCAGGAGGCACCGTACACATGCCAGGATCCCAAAATGGACTGAGAGAGAAGAGTCTTGTTGTTTGGGTTCTCAGGGAGGCTGTCCTGGACTCCAGACCAAAAAAAAAAAAAAAAAAAAGAGGTGGTAGCTTAGGGCAGGGGTTCAGAGAGTACTGCAGGAAAGTACTCCCCAAAGCCTTGGGCTTGCTCATCTTACTCTTGCACCCTTAGTGTCTGTCTCACAACCTGCCCAGAGAAAATGATAAGCTCTGGGGTCTTCAGATTTGCTTTCCTGATAGTGAGTCACCCAGCTGTCAGGGTCAAGGGATGAAAGTCCCATACAGTTTTTTCGGAAGAGCTGCTCCCCAAAGGAGACCAAGCCCACTGGCCTCTGCTTGCTTTTCATGCCTACCCAGTCTACAGATCTCTCAAAGGACCACAGAACTCAGAACTGCTCCCCTCCTTGATGTGCTGGAGGACTCCAGGGGATGGGCAGCTTGCTTCCTCTTTGAGAGAGAGGATTGCTTCTCAAAGAACACCAAGTAGGCTCCTGTGGGACAAGGCCCAGGAGACAGCCAGATAGAAATGGGGCAGATGGAGGTCTGCAATCAGGGAAAGGCAGCCCAGGAATGGAAACCAGCAGTTTAAGTCCAGGATTGTCAGGGAAAGGCTGCTCTGGTAAGGACACATGTGAGGTATGTATAGGAGGAACCTGTGCACCTGATTCATATTGGGTGGGTGACAAAGAGTACTCATGTTGGACTCTAGGAGCCTGATGCTCAGCACCTTGAATGTTCTTTACCTGTGATAGTCTGTCCGGAGTGAAAGCCAGGACTGGAATCTTTAATGTGCCAAAGGCCTCTCTGACTCTGACCAGTCCTCACACCTGCCGGGCCACTGGTCTCAGAGGTACTGGAATTTCTACTAAATGCTGCCTCCAACCAACTGTGCAGCGTTGAGCAGCACTTCCAGGCTGCCCCAGTACAGCGCCCTAGTGCCCAGATGGGTGACTTCCATTGCAGTGGCGGCGCAGCAAGACCAACCACCCGGCAATCTCCTCCTTGCAAATTGGCTCTGCAGTCGCTAAGCGAGCCGCGGAATTTCTTGAAGCGTGGGCAGCGGCAGCTTTGGCCAAAGACCGGAAGGCACTGTGTATATAAGCGTGCAAACGATCCGGAGGGGCTTGGTTGCTCTGCCTAAGGGTTTTCAAATTTAGTGTAGAGGCCTCATCGAACGTCCGCCCATCCGTCCGGTACTTCCGGATCAAGATCTGCGCCGAGGGCAAAGCTTCATCAGGAGTCACTTCCAGAGGGCGGGTTGCGACGTCAGGGAGCAAGTTTAGGGACAGAGTGGTAGCCCCAGGGGAGTAAGAAGGAATCGCGGGGCACCTCCTCAAACCCTCAGGACAGCCACGGGCGGAGGGCACGAAGGTGACCAGCACCACTAGGACACCATCCTGGTGCAGAGCAGGGCTGGGCTCTCCGAAGGGCGGCCCGAGGCACGCGGAGGTCGAGCGAGACCGAAGCGAGGTGCGCGAGACTCCGGAGCGCGCGACTCCGGAGCGCGCACTGCCGGGCCTCCGCAAAGCCCGCGGCGCAGATGGGGCATAGCTGCGCGCTCACCGGTCTGAACTGGAAACGTTCGGAGCCCAGTATTTTAAAAGCAGGGAAATAAGGCGGCTTCCTCCTTCGCCCGCCACTCTCCTAGTAGACTGCGTGGCTGGAGCCCCCAGGCTGTCCTCCAGCAGCCGCCCCAGGGCTGCTCCGCTGCAGGGTCTTGGGCCGCCCTCGGAGCTCAGGCCGCGGACCTGGGGTGACCAGCAGCGGCCATAATCTCCGCTAGGCTCCGCTCTCACCACCGCGCCTGCTTTTCGTTTGGCCTGTTCTCCGCTCAACTTGAATGTTGATTTTCGTATCCCACTTGTTTTCATTTTGGGGGGTGCCATTCTTTTAAGATGTCCCTTTTCCTTTCGTTTTGTCTGTTCTTTTCCTCCTCGTCCCTTCGCTCCTTTAATCCTTTCGTTTGATCTTCTGTTGCTTCTTTTTCGTTTGCTCCTTCATTTGTTCCTTTCCGCTTTTCTGCCCAGCTCGCTGACTGTCTTTTACCTCTTGTTCTGGCCGCCCTCCTCTGTTATTTGACTTAATACCCCCCCGCCCCTTTTGGTTATTATTTACAATTTTTTTGTTTTCTTTCTCCGTATTTTGTTGTCTGCCTGCCCTCTTCGCCGTCGGATCTCAGATCTCGTTCCGCTCTGTCGCTCGCTCACCGAAGCGCGCACGCAGAGCCAGGACTGTCCAGGCGCCTGGGCGCTCGGTGCAGAATGCGCCCCAGAGGCGGAGATGGTGGCCCGAAGTCTGGGTTCCGCCCGGCGCGGAGCGCTGAGCCAAGCCGAGTACCTGTCCCTGGAGGTGCTCTGGTCGCTGCGCGGCTGCCGCCGTCTGGCAGGGATCAGAGGAGCCAGGCCAACTGCTTCTCATTAAGTCCCAACTGTGGTTTTTATCAGGAGAGCCTCTTTCAAAGGACACAGACATGAAGCTCTAAGGACTCGCTCATTTCCTCCGCTGACCCACACACACCTCCCTCCCCTCCCCAACACACTCACCAACTCAGGCTGGACTGAGGCCCGAGCTGCCAAGCCACTCAGTGGAGGCCCGCAAGACTCCAGGCTTCGGGGCGGTGGTCTCTGAGGGTCCCTCTGCTGCAGGATGCGGCAGCATAGATGGGCTAGGCATGTGGAGACTCCTGCGGGTCGGCTGATGCGGTGGGTGGCAGCGAGGCCACGGACCAGCCTGCCAGGCCCCCGCGTTCACATGCGTTCCCAGTGATGGCACGGTCCAACCAGCCTTCGCCCTAAGGGCTCCAGTCCAGGGGTTTAAGAAGCCCAGGGGTTAGGCCTGCCTAGGACTGTTCCCGAAGGCTCAGTACTGAGGATCCGGTGCCGCGGGGATCTGCGAGACTGTCAGAACAGTGGCCGTCACCGTGCATTAAGACGACAGGGAGGCCAGGTTAGTCTGAGAACTAAGAACATGTACTCGGTCTTGAGCGCTGTGCGACCAGCTGTGGCCACTCCGCGGAGCGCCCAATGCACAGGCAGCGACCTTCTCGCTGAGGCTGGGATGGGGGCTGGGGTTAGGCCAGGCCGCAGCCCTGGGCTAAGCCGGGCTTGGTCACTCCAACCGGGTCAAGGTCCAGCCTCTGCGGCCTCAACGGGTGCCAGACAAGAGTTGTGCGCTTCTCTTGCAGCTTCGGGGCTCAGTATGGCTCCCAGGCCTTTGGCCCAGTCCGAACTTCTGGGTTGGTTGGTGGTAGTTCCAGTCTAACTCGGACAAGCACGATCTCTTCCTGGCTCCGGCCGCTTTCGCCCTAGTAGGTCCCCACCATGGCTGCTCCACCCTCCCTCGACCTCCCGCCTCTCAGTCACCGGGAGCACGGGTGCCTATGCCTTCCGCATCGAGCTGGCCTTTGCCTGGCCCAGGCCAAACTCATTCTGGCTTCTGAGGCAGCCGGGGCGAAAAGGAGATGGGGAAAAAGTTAATAGGCGAGTGGGAGACAGAAGCCGGGAGGCCTGCGCGGGCCAGGGTAGGGAAGGAGAGAGGGTCGGGCTGCGCGCTACCCCCGCGTGGCGCGTTACCTTCCGTGGGGCCTTCGTAGAAGTGGCTGCCGTTGAGCGCTGGCCCTGGCCCTAGGTCCTGCAGGTACTTGGCGGGCGGCTTGGCGGGCTCTGGGAGGTAGGGCTCCAGGGGCCCGCAGGCCGGAAAGCGGGTCAGCCTTGGGCCGCGAGGCGGCGCGGGGTGCAGGTGAGGTGCAGCAGCCGGCGTTCCCTGGGGGCACGAAGGCTCGTCCCCCACGGCTGCGTAGGGGCCGGGTGTGGGCCCCACGCCGAAAGGCGCGCAGCGCTCCTGGTCCATGCTGGCTCCGGGCGCTCAGGCCGCCGGGGCTCCAGGGCTGCGCTACCCGAGGCCTGTGAGCCCCCGCCAAGGGGGAGGGACCTGGGCTTGGGGGCGCGGAGCCCCCGGGAGCGGCGCGCGCCGCAGGGGGTGGGGGGATTAGAGGAGGGGACCCGCGCCTCTGACTTAATGCTGGAACTATCCACGTCACGTGCGGCCCCGCGCGGGTTAACCCCTAGGAGCCCGGGAACCCCCTAATTCACCAGAGCCCGGGGTCCCAGTCATTTGGGGAGAGGAGGAAGGCTGCTGTCTTTTGAGGGAAGGATCCCTTGTGTCTACCCCTCTGGGTTCAGTCCTAGCTCAGAGCTGCACCCTTGAACTGCTCCTGTTAACCCGTCTAGTGGCTTTTATCTTTCCAGGAGTAAGGCGGTGTGGTGGCATACCCCAACTTGCGAAACACTTTCAGTTCTGTTCTCTCGACTTGAGCCCTGGGAAGAAGCGGGGGCAGTAGTTGGGTGGCCCCTTTTCCTAGCTCTTTGTGCCAAGAACTGGAAAAAAAGAGGTCACTATAGCAAGCACATCTCCCTTAGAGACCTCTTCATATTGCACAGGGACAGGAGTCCTTAGGCACATGACTTAGAAACAACTCCAAGCTGTGAGTGGGGACTGGGGAGTTTGGGCGTGAACATTATCATTATTTAGCTCTGGGGCCTTGAACTAGTAAGTCACTTAGTGTCATCCTCTGATTGTAGAGGTGAGTGGAATCAACCTCAGAGTTTACTACACATTGGTGGCAACTTTCAAGGCAGAGGCAGGCCAGAGTAGACAGGGAGACTCTCCGGTGAAGCTCAGGATTGAACAGGGCTTGGCACAGGCAGCTTTTAAGCAGGTGGAGGAGCCATAGCCATGAGCAGCAGACATGGAGGGAATGCTTTTCAGGGTGTCCAGGTCCTGCCTGCACCTGCCCCAGGCCTGCCATGGGTGGTCGTGGGGATTGGCTTGCATGATTTGAGTCTCCACAACTAAAAAGAAGCATAGAATCAGAGCAGTAATTTAGCATTTCTGAAAAGAGAAACAACCCCTCCCTACCTAAGAGTTGGGAAAAATTCCAGGGAGCCCCAGGGCTGGGCTCACATCTCCTGGATTGAAAAGGCCTTGGGTCTGGATTAAACCATTTTTCAATGCCCCAGAGAGTAGCAAGAGGGGTGGGGAGTCACACATCATTTGTATTTCATTTGAATTCTCAATTTTTAAAGGAATCTGAGAGGCCTGGTGTGAACACCTCCCTCATCCGTTGGAGGCTTAGAGGGGGTTTCTTGGCTGTCCTCAGCCAGAGTTGGGCTGTAAATCAAGGCCAAACAGGAACCAGAAGCCTTGCATCTCACAAGAAGTCATTAAGCCATTATTAAACGTACCTTAACTTCTCTGAAGCCTTACTGGTTTAAATACCACATTGGAGGCATTATGGCCATTAGAGCCTCTAATCACAAACTGCAGATTGGGCAGAGAGACAGGAGCACCTGGGGCTGCTATTCCTAGCCTAAAGGGAGTCTCAGCTCTGGATCCATTTTCCAGAGTCCAGTTGATCCCAGCTCTGGCAACTAACTTGCAATGATCATTAATAATGTTTGTCAGTAATTGTTGATTGGATATTATTTCTAGGAGGATGTTTATTCAACAAAATTACCGGGCAGCTTATTTTGAAGGAAGCATGAATGACACAGAAAAAATGTCACCAACAAGTTAGGCAAGGCAGCCTGGATTAAATGCTGAGTCTCTTGCCTCAGGTGATAACATTTTTCAGGCTCAGTTTCATTGTCATAAAAATGGGCAACACATGGCCAGGGATTTAGCTCAGTGGTTCCACCGCCTGCCTTGCAACCACAAGGACCTGAGTTCAATCCCTGGTACCAAAAAAAAAAACCCCCCAAAAATGGGCAACACATATGGACATGGAGCATTTGAGAAGCACTCTTTTTTTTTTTTTTTTTGTACCAGGGATTGAACTCAGGACCTTGCACTTGCCATGCAGGTGTGGTGCTGCTGAGCTAAATCCCCAGCCCCAAGCACTTGTGTTTTGATGTGCTATGTTAATCTAAGAGATGATGATAGTAATGTGTTAATGACGATTTCTCCAGAAATGGGAGCTTAAATTCCTGGGCTCCATCACTGAATTGGCAGAAGGCTCCTGACTCCAGACCAAAAGGTTCTGTGCCTTAAGCTGAGCAGAGACTTGGGCCTCTGCTGTTCCAGGGACCCACACCTCTTCCCAAGCCCCAAAGTCCCTTCTGATACAGACTCTCACTCTCTTACCATACTGTGATGATGTTACCAATTGAAGGCAGGAAGGCCCAGATTACTTTTGGGGCCTGCAGGTATATGGAGTTGTCCCTAAGAGGATGCTGTCCTGCTCCTCTTTTTCAGCCACTGGAGCAAATTATATCATTATCCACATCTGGTCTGGGAGGAGTTTGGTGAAGCAGGTGCATAAAAAACATAATAACAGAATGTCTGAGTTGGTACTAACGTTCCAGGTGGTGAGATGATGGGGTACAACAGATACCCTTATTTTACAGATAAGTATACAGTACTTATATAGTACTTATCGTGTGCCAAGCATTATCGCATGTATTCTAGATACAATGGTTTATTTAATCTTCACAACAACCCCACAAAGTAAGCACAATTATTAGCCCCCTGTTTTTGTTTTTGTTTTGTTTTGTTTTTGGGTACCAGGGGACGAACTCAGAAGCTTGTGCTTGCAAGGCAGGCGCTGGCACCACTGAGCTAAATCCCTGGCTTTATTAGCCCTGTTTTGTAGAGAAACTTCCTGAGGCCACAGAGGGAGCCATTTGCTCCCGGTGGATACAGCCACTTGTTGGCAGCACCAGAATGTACACTCCAATCCATAGTCCCTCATCCAACTCTTGTAGACCTTCTTTAGCTAGCACATAACTAAGTTAAAATCATTCAGTGTTCACTCTCATTTTCCTAATAGAAAAGTTGTGACTCCTTCCCAAAAGGGAAAACAAATTGAGGCCAGAGTGGACTGGGACAGAGTTGCTCTGAGATGAGCTGCACTGCTGCCTTCATGAGCACCAAGTGGCAGCCAGCTGCAGTGGGCAGGGAAAGCAGTTTCTGATAAGCTGAGAGCAACAAAACAGAGTGTCTAACACCTGAGTAGTTTTACAACCAACTCAGATGTGCGACTGAGTTTTAAGGGAATTTGTGAGTTCACCATTCATGACATTTAATAACTTTTGAAATACAATAGCATTTGTCATTGATACCTTATTCACAGAATAAGATGAGCTGATAGATGATCCAGATAATTCTAGATCATATAATAAGAAAAACTTGAAAAGCCCTCTCATCGTCTGCTGAGGAAAAACGACTTTTAAAATGGAAACAATACTTATTGGTGGTCTTACACTGGCTGAATGTTTAATCCATTCATTTAGATAGGAGGTCCTATTGGTCACAGGCATTTTCTGGTACCAAGGTAGAGCAGCTAGGAAGACAGATGTGATCCCTGCCTGCCTGGTGCTTACACTTTGCTGGCATGAAAATGTCTCATCCACATTGAAGCAAACCTTTGATTGGATGTGAACCAGAGTGGAATATGGTCTTGAGAACAGAGTTTCTGGCTCCTGGCTGAAGTGTAAGGTCAGGTCTTTAATTAGAGAAACATCAGTTCCAGTTATCTCTTTCCCTTTCATTTTCTACTTTCCTTAGTCTACACTACATGAAGGACAAAGCTTTCCTTCTTTTCCCAGTGGATATCCAGAAGGGGCTGGGACAATGGGAAAAATGTAACCTCAGCTCTGAGATTTGCTTGACATTTACAAAACTTGCTTCCAGACAGGAAAAGCTCAGTTGCTTTTTTTCCTCCAAAGGGAAGACAGTCAACATTACCCTTGTCCTGTTTAGAAGCTGAAATCCTAAATTGATTCCTATGAAAATTCTGGGTTTGGGAGCCCAAGTAGATTGTTTCTCATTAGTGACATTCTTCCTGGAAGGTCAGGCTAGGAATGGTAAATAAACCTTCAGATCCGGTGTTTCCTCCTCACCCACGGTATTTTAAAAAAGATTTGTGCTGTGGATACTCAGGATCTTGGTTGAGATTCTAATGACTCAAGCTGAATTCTGTGCATTGGGGCAACATTTCTGGGAAGTTAGGGGACCATTTTTCCATTTGATTTATTTCACTGGGACAGCCATTTAATCTCTCTGTATCTTAGTTTCTCCACTGCAACAGTGAGAGGAATGATTCTATAAGTCTGGCTTTATTGGACTGAATGAGCTCATGTTTATACAGATGTTCCTTGAGGCCAAATCCATCCCTGGACCTATATTTTTCTGCTTGTTTTCTCTGCCCACCTCACTGCGGTTGGGATGAGATGCACTAGTTGGAGCTGTGTCTGTAATGTGGCAATGTACAGAGGGCCTGAGATTGTTCTGCCACCTGAATTGATTGCCTTTGTGAAGGTAAGTGGATTCTGAGGCAAGTGTCTGTATGGACAATGGCATCATTTTGTGGAGGAAGTTTTTTGGTTTTTGGTTTTTTCCTCCCAGTTTTGGGGACTGAACCCAGGGCCTCATGTGCTAGGCAAGCACTCTACCTGAACTACATCCTCAGCCTCTGTGAAAGAATTTTTGATGAACCTATTTATGCTTGGTGCAAAACATAAAGGGGCGGATTTAGATTTCTGGACAGTTTTACCTCGTTAATTAATTTTATGCAATCATGCATTCCATAAGCTTTTGTTAAATTTTTTCCTGTGCCACAGTGGGACCACACAAAGGATGGAGCCAGGGAGAGTGCCAGTTATTCTCAGGGCTTTTCCAGACTAGTCAGAGAGGGATAGAAAGCAATAGGCATTTACATCAAGAGTATGGTTTTGCTGAGGTGGGAGAGCACAGGGATCCACAGAGGCCATGGGAAAGATGCTTCCCTGCCACAGAGAGAGCTGGGGAGAAGTGGCTATGGGATGTTCCAAGGTGGAATCCTGAAAGTTGGC